CTAAAATTTAACTTTGAAAAATTTTGCCATTATGGTAGCACTCTAAGTCTAAAATGAGACGTTAAGAATGCCATACTTTTTGTCATTCTTAACGTCTCATTTTAGTGTAATCATTTATTAATACTTTTTCACTTCGAAATATTTCTGATTTTCAGTGTAACTAGACTGTGAAGTCTTCCTGCTTCTTCTATTCAAAACGTTGCAACGTTTGCTATCATTCGTAGAGTTGATAAAATGTTAGATTTTATTGATACACTAATGCTAAAAAACAAAAATTGAAATGAATTGTTAGCTGTAATCCCACTTGCAATTTTTATCATTTATTGTGTTGTAATGGATTTTTTTTCTTTAAATTTCGAAAAATATAAAAATAATAATTTCCGTTTGCAATGAAAGCCATTACTTTTGAAGAACTTTTCAAAATTTATAGTGCTCTCTAAACTGAATATTGAACAATAAACACTTTTTTCCCATTTTAACAAACTGCTCAAAATTTTTGAATATTTCTGACTCGTGTATGAGGGAAAAATATTCCATTAAAACTTATAAAAGTGTTTGCAAACTGAACACATCAAAAATTGATTGATGTAGTTTTGTCCATCACAAAATTAAGATACCATTATTCTAATTAGTTATTAAATAATTTCAAACTGAATGTATGAGGTTCAGTACTTTTAAATAGCTGTCAAAAACTAGACTTGAAAACTTCTCAAGAATACAAGAACATTTCTAGGTCAAAAATAACACAAAAGATGCAGGTTTTAGATACTTTTATATATTTTAATGAAGTTTATTTGGTTTAAAATGAGTTGCGATAACGATGATAAAGCACTGATAGTTGAGAGTAAATACTTTGAGTACTGAATCTGATCTCTCAGATTCATTAAATTGTAAAATGCATCTGTAATCCAGTAGTCAGTTGTGTGCAAGATAGATATATTGATCAAATATTTGAGGTTTTTCTTTTTTTAGCAGCAAACATCAAAGAAAAATTATCATTAGCTACTGAAAGATTGCGAATGAATGAGGCGAGAAACTGTAATTTTTGTGTGTCCGGCTTACGAATAATCTACGCTGGACTGAAGTCATTCTTCACTAAAAATTTGTGTTTAACTTTTTCTGCCAATCATTGTTTTCAATATTTGATACTGTAAATTTAATTACTACATCAAATTTGACAGAGAAAAAAATTATCGCAAAAAAAGCAAATTTTATTGATGTTTACAAAAAATTATGTAAACGGTTGTTTGCATTGTTAGAGTTATCAATCAAAGTTTGCTCAGTTATTTGTAACTGAATTATTGAGCAAATTTTATGTGCTGGAAGTGTAGAAGCAAGATTGTACCAAGCAGATTACTGCTAGCTGAAGAGTTTTTATTGGAATCATCCAACGATATTTGTTTTCGTTATTACTTCTGCTATCATTACAATTGTTTTTGCTATTATTATTATTACTTTATATTATTATCATTTTCTAGTATAGCTTTTACGATCACTATTGCTGTTTTATCATTATTTACTCTGTAAAAGTATTTGAAAAGTAAGAAATAGTTTTTAATTTGGCTCTATGACTTGCAGTTGATATCACTGTCATACTTCCGGAAACCTCAGAAGGATTGGCCAGTCCGCTTCCGGTTTCCAGCTTTCTTTACGGAAAACAAAGAAGAGCAGAGGTAAAAACAGTTGGAACTGATGGATGCGTTGTTATCTGCTAGCTGTCAATCTTTATTTCTTCTTTAAAATTTTTTCAGTTAAATGATCGAAGCACTATTTAACCTTTCCTGTATTACTACTTATCTTTCTATAGCATTTGATAGATTATCATCGCTGGGTTTCGTTTTTCAACAACTTTTACAATTACTTTTATCCATCGCTTATGAATTTTATTCCATCTCATAGAATTAATAACTAGCTAGCTATTTATCCACATCGTTAATGGGCTTTATTGAAGACAATTTTATTGAGGATCTCGTTTGTTTACCTTCAGCTTTTCAGTCTTTCTTAACTTATTCAGTTGAATGCGTAAATCTTAATAAGATTTCCTGGAAGAACTGAATTAGTTAAGAAAGACTGAAAAGTTAGAACTAGTTGAATTTACTTTACTTGCTAACCAACTATAAATTGTTTACTATATATCCATTTTGTATCGATTGCTTTTCAGAGTACGGATCAATTAACTCTATCTCAAACGAATTATTTCATGAATATTCTACTTGTAAGTTGAACGAATTGTTTGCTTTGAAAACTACAAAACAAGTAGAAAAAAGTCATATTGGATATAAATTAACACAAACGGATTGGCATGGTCAGTTATGACCAGTAATAATTTAATTTTGTGATGGCGAAGCGTTGAGATAGAGAAACTATGCTGTGAGACATTTTAATTACAATCTACTTGTGTCATATTATTGCTGCTTCTGTATGAACAAAATATGTTATGGTGTCGTTTTGTCGCTAATTAGTTTATGCTCTGAGCATGTTCTTTTTTGATTTTAAATGTACATTAAACTTGTTAGTAATACAGATGCAAAGCAACTTGAGCATTTTCTTCGCAGATGTCATTTATGTTATATAATATGCATAATGCATAGCGATTTAGCGAGATGTATTTGCAAGCATTCAAAGTGTTTCAAAAGTTGTAGTTTCTGATGCTAGACTTTGGAAGTGGATTTAGAATTTGATGAGAAGAGTACTGAGTACTGCTTTATTTGGAATTTGCATTTTAAAAAACAAAATAAGAATATTTAAAGTCGGCTAGTTCCTGAAGTGGAAACATAGATAAATAAATAAGTATATAAGTAAACGAAGTAAACAATATCACACGGAGGTTAATCTTTTTTTTTGTTTCATTGATTCTGGCACTTTGGCTGTACTCGTCCTGAAGTCAGCTTTTTTATGCTGCCCTTTGCTGTTTTATCTTCTTGGAATTCAAGATCGTGATCGGATGAGATGCTTTCAAGTGTATTCTTGAGCACTATCGATTGAATGTATGCCTCGACGTGATCAAGTATACTAATTTCCATCGCGTAACGTTTGCGAGAGTTCATTATACCCTATCTCGCGGAATTGTTTTCTGTATTTCTTGTCTGATTCGAATTTATTAGCGAGTACATCATGCTTTTGCTTTTTCTTGTTATCAACTGCTATTATTCTATCCTGATTGGTGATACCAATCTCGAATAAAATTATTTCATATCGCTTTGTTTAGTAACTTTGGCTTCACATAACGTCAGGATATGCCGTCGATCCACATTTATTTTGATCACTGTTCTTACTCGCATATCGACCCACGTTTTCATTCTCGGTAATCTCCTGAACGGAATGATTTCACATGCGTTAAAATGCTTTCAGACCATACTTCTTATAGAGCCCCAACTGTATGCATCGTCGCCCCTCATTATACATTCTCAGGCTTTAGAACAGCCGTCCTTCTTGTTTATTTAGATCCAGTTTCTACTAGCATATTATGAAGCTAGAGACGCATGAGCTCACTTCTCTTTTCGACAGTGTTTAGCCCACGTCCCAGTTCGTCCCTTGGCAGGTTGACTAGAAATCTTGTGTTTGTTTAGTAACTGTTTAATATCATGCTCTATAGCGTTAGAGTATTCTGATTTCTTCACAGATACGTGTGATCAGAAAAATTTATACATACAATCAGTTTTCTGCTGTGATTCCAAATTCGTTATTTTTCCCGCTTACCCTCCATTCCTAATCAGTCTTTTTATATCCCACTACAAATGAGCACAGCAGCATTCTTCTACTTTGAGGTACTAGCAATAGATTTGTCCTCTTCTCTATTCACTCCATGAAATCTCTCTTCTTAAACTGCTTCTCTATTTCGTATTCATTTCTTCAGAAGTACAAAGAGTTACACGACTATTATTGTTATGGTTCATTACTTCTCTTAGTTTCTTAAAAATTCTCCCGAAGTGACAAGTTATTTAAGACATTTCTTAGCTATTACTTTACTGATATGATTGATTGCCAGAATTTTCCGTCGTATTATTATTGTTATTATATTTTCACTGTTCTGACGATTTTGACTGCATTATAGCATTGCTTTTGCTGTTGCAATTGATCACACTGTTACTGTCGCCATTTATTTTGATTATTAGAGTATGTCTCAATAGCAGATAAAAGTAGAACAAATGCGGGAACACAATCTAGATATAGTCTAGAATTAATGTATAACTTCCAAGGCTAGGCAAAGTCTATCCTTGCTTCAAACATGAGTAATTAAAAAAAATTTTTCAATCTTAAAGTAATTGAATCAACAAAAATAATCAAATGAATGCAAATAGATGCAGGCAGGAACGATTCTTGGCTCAGTTCAGCTCTTATGAAAATGAAGTGAGAAGCTATTTGTTGGGCAGAGAATCAAATTCTATCCAAACGATAATCTATCTATCTTCACGTTAATTATTTCACTTCTGCGAAAACAAAAAAGCAAAAATTCAAGCAATGTCAGTCATTACGAGAGAAGACGACTACTTCCTATGAGTTATTTCCTCTGAAAACGGATAATCAAACTGCTCAAATTATTCTTATTCTTATTATCACTGCAGTCACAATTATTGTTAGGGACAAGTTCGGTTGTGAAGTGTTAAGTAAAGAGGACATTGAATGGAAAGTAAGCTGATTAATTATTCGCTAATCTTGCATTATTTTTTTTCTTGTTTATTTAAAAGTCTTATCAGTGCACCGTTTTAGATTCTTAGTTGAGAGCCGCATACATTTGCATGTCATTATATTATACACAAAATAAGTGCTATTTAAGTAAATGCATGAGCAAATTAAAGTTATCAATTTATTGAGTTAATCAATTGATTCTTCGTTTATCAATCAGTAGTTCATTGTTTATCTTTTTAGCAAAAAGCACGTGTTTCATTTCAGGTAGTTTCATTATTCGTTTTCAGACAGAAAATTTTTTTCTGTTATCAGAAACTAAAGTTTGAGTAGTGACTATTCAGAAAGAAATGCTGAAATTTTAAGTGCAATGAATGGCTAGGTCGAGTTAGTTTTGCTTTACATTCTGCGCTGAATATATGAGTATGCGAAGATAAGCTCTGAATGAACTGTCTGAATGCAATAATTCACTCAGATAGATAAGTATATGCCGATAGGAACTAGAATTCATTTAATTATTGGAAAAAGTTTGGAATAGGTCAGTGATATAATTATCGCGACATTTGTAATGCAAAATGAGGTGCAATTTATACGTACTTGTTAACTGGTAAATTTCAAACTACGTAAATTTTATTTTCCAGCTCAAGAAAACGATAGATGGCGACAATTTTGCATGCAGTATGCGAAATCGGTGGCATTCAAATTTGCGGAAAGTTGGCAGCAGTATTCAAGAAATGCCGGAACACCTTCGAGAAATCTTGATGTCTCCGAAGTAGTGCATCAGTTTACTAGCACACTCACAGACGAGTTAAGTGAGAGATTGCTAACTACACCGAAGGTCGTCTTCCCTTCTACCACTTGTTCTCAAACGGTATGTATATCTGCTACTTGATTTACCATTTTTGCTCTTTTCTTTTTCACGTATTCATTTCTTCATCATTTCTTTACTAATTTTTATCCCAATCATTTAACTGTTTAAAATATTGATTGATTGGAGGTCAGTTGTGATGAAAATCATCAACTGACTGACTGACAGTTGTTTACTTATGCACCATTGTGTATATAGTGATCACCATCGTTCACTTTCAGGATCGATGGTGATCACTATATACATTTTCTCAATATGAAAAGTAATAATGCAACTTTCCATAAATACATTACGGTGCATTTTCGTGCTTCGCTCTTGTTTTCTACCATACATGGTTTTATAATTTGTATATTTAACGATCCTGAACCTTCAAGCTAAAATGTGAACCAAATTATGAGCTTGTGCACTCAGCAAATCCATTTAAGCAAAAGTCCATTGAAGAGGTCAAAATCTTCTCAAAAATTCTATAATTCATGTCAGATATCAGAGTACTAAAAGAGCAAATATTGCAAATATGTGTTCATTTGTTGTCTACTGTGCTTAGCATCTGACTGCAAAGAATCAGTTGAAGATTACATTTGCATTGCAAATCATTGAGTTGTAAGTGACTTTCTGTTACTCTTTCTTGCAATCTCAAACATTTCTCAATTAATTCCATTTTGCTTATTTTACTCTTATCAAATAAAGTGGTTATGCATATTTGTAGAATGCTTCAAGTGATGGAATATCTTCTGCTGGGATGGTTGCTCAGAGCAACAACGTCAACTATCGTGATCGTTCATGTGATTGGAGGTCATTGAACGAGTATGAACGACCTGCTAGTATTGCCGAAATTTCCTGGATGTCGCGGTCGAGATCCGAGGTGGCTTCAAGAGGATGCAGCATGGTGGTTAGCGCTTTGCTTACTTAATGATATCTTTATTCTGAAAATAAGGAAAAACTAGAAATGATTCTTATACTTTTCATTTTTAGTTTTTCTTATTTTCTTCACAAACATTCATTATTTTCTGTCATCATTTCAAGTTTCAGATTAAAATTATATTTTAAATTTGAAAATACTGCTTCTTTGAAAATAGTAAGAAATGATTGTTGGAAAGATCTATTCACGTGAATGAAGGAAAAATTTAATAATTTTCTCAAGTTTCAGGCAGAATCAATGAATCAGCAACAGTCAGCAAGCTCCCATTCTAGTCGACCTTCATCCAAACGGCTTTCCTGGTTTCGATCACATTTTCAAGCTAAAACGTCAGTTGAACTGATTCGGGAAGGTAGTGTAAGGTAAAATTGCTTTTTCCATTAAACATTCATTTTAAATATTAAACAACTGTTTTCTGATGACAATATCGTCGATTTATGAGCAGACAAGAGTTAAAACTTTGACAAGAGCAAAAAATCTCATCAAGTACTCTGAAACTGAAAAAGTTTGGCTGGATGGTTTCTTCTCATTTCAAGCCACAAACGGTTTTGGTCTTTATTTTTCAGTTTTCATCATACTATTAGTTTGATTTCGTTTGTTAATGCATAATTTAATTTTTTTTGATCTAATAAAAATTATTAAAACTGTCTATTGTAAGTCCCGTGATTTGTTGAAAAACTCTTTGTTTTGTGCGATTTTCTTTACTACACTTTTTTATTTAGATTTAGATAAATATATTTTTATTTAGATATATGAGCGGTTTCGAATTAGAAACTAAACAGTGGCGGAAATGCAGACTCTGCTTAGTTAAAACAGCTGGAGGATATTTGTTGGAATTTTATTCGCCACCTAAAGTAAGCATCACTTTTAAGTGTTCTTACTTCATAATTTTTGTGCATCAAATCGCTGATAACTGATTTTACCTTTTTCCATTTGTTTAATTACTCTCCAGTGTTTATGGATGTTTCAAATACGAAATACTTTTTTACTTGGATTGTCACATGTTTCGAAGTTGCAAATGCTTGCAAACATTTGATTTCAGTAAGTTATTATAGGAGTCTATGTTTTGAATACCATTAGATACAATTATAGTTAACAGAAATTGAACAAGTCTTTTGCAGAGTAATCGAGCGAAATCTGGCATTTTTTGTTTTCTTATAATGGAAGTCAGGGAAACAACACCATTAGAATTCGAAGAAGGAAATGAGTTAATATTCGCCATTCGTGGTTATAACGATGTTTGTCACATTTGTATTTCTTTATTTATCAATGGTCTCATTTATTTTTGTGTTATCAGAATTTTGGAGTTTAAATAATACTGAGCCATAAAATAGCTTACTGTCATAACTACAACAGGTATTCATTCATGAAGGTCATGCAAATCTTGAAAGAATAACCTTATTATTGTTGAATTTTTGCACTGAAAAATTTTTGAGATATATAGATCAATTAAATTTATAAAGAGGCGTACACTTTTATTTGTATTCAGTTTATAAAGATTTCAGACGGAATATGTCATCAAAGCGAAGAATGCAGAAGACTGTCAGCAGTGGTTATCTGTGATACGTGGTTGCATGTCAGAAAATGATCCAAACACTTCTCAAAGGTTTATGCGGCAACCATCTGCTCCTCCAATCAGTTCCAGTAATCGAAGAGTTTTCTCGTCAAGGTAAGCTTATTTAGTTTCACTGAGACAAAAAACTAGTCAGAAATAATATTTTACATTTTCTTCTTACTTTTGAAATATTTTTAAGCCGTTTCATCTTAGAATATTTATGCTCGATAAAACAGGTTTTCGATTTGTTGAAGCAGTCAGCGTAAAACAGCGGAAGTTTTATGCATTGTGAAAAGTGACAATCTACAATTTCACTCAAAATCATAACAAATTTGGATGATTACCAGAAATTTCAGCTTTCAAATGATTCTAAATAAATTTTGAATTTTACTTCAGATCTTTAAATAATGTGCATTCGATGGCATCAACGGGAATAGATACTCGAATTCCATTATTGACACATACTTTCCCTTCGGGACTTGAACTTTACCCATGGTTTCATGCACGTTTGTCTCGTAGTATAAGTGCGCGACTAGTACTCCATAATGGAGTTGATGGGCATGGCTTATTTCTTGTGCGTCAAAGCGAGACACGCCCTGGTGAATTCGTATTGACATTTAATTGTCAAGGCAAAGCTAAAGTAAATTTAACTTTGTGTTCAAGGGATATTTTTGTCGAAAGAAATTTCTCATTTTCAGATTGTTTAGTGAAATTTTATTAAGTGATTCTTAAAAATCTAAATGATGCTGAAATTTCGAAAAATTTAGCATGTAAGGATTGTGATGATGCCTGATGGGGAATGTCGCATTCATCAGATGATTTTCGAGACAATGATCGATCTCCTGGAATATTTCCGAAACAATCCGATACCTCTCGAAAGTTCATCTACTCCACCTATACTTCTCAGCGAATATGTTATTTGTATGTTTTCCATATAGTTTCAGAATTCTCATTTAATTGCTCTTGATGCAGAATTATCAGTGTCAGCATACAGCACTCGATGAACTAATAAAATTGGAATCAGTTATAATCTCACGTTAAAGTGTATATATTCTACTTTAGAAAACTTTTTCAGGTTGGCGTCGACGGTCATTAGCATCACTTGACTTGGATGTTCGAGATTTTCTTACTCATTCTGGTTCGGTTCGGTTGGATATTCGTGCTCTAGAAGAGCTCGTACGTCACACGCAACGTAATCGACAGCATCGCTCAATGACTACTAATACTTATCGTTATCAATAAATTTCCGTGATAATCTTGGATATAACTCTATTATAATTCTTAAAGATCTAAATTTCTTGATAAAGTCTGAAATTTGTTTTCAATTTTGATATTTTCATAACTTGTGCAAAATTGGATTAGTTTGCGTAGTTTAAAATAAGTACATTTATTGGATATGTTAAAAAACTACGAAGTGTTCATTTACACTTTTTATTGCTTTGCTATTGTTTTTTCACTACGTTATGTAACGACGCTACACGTCTGCACATGAAGTTGTTCTACAAAATAGTTTATGCGTTTTAGTGTTATTTGTACCTTTCATTCGCTACCATATCGAATAAGTCTTGTTCTCTGCCAATTGATATTTTGATAATAGTACAAGTTTTTTGATGTTATCGTGTTCAGTTAATTTTGAATATTAAACTGTCTACTCAGTTCTACAGTTTTTTACGCTTGAGGAATATTTCCTTGTTGTTTTTAATAGCAATAGGTTTCAAGATTTCTGAAGTCATTTTTATTAAGACTATTAATTGATTTTAGTAAAATTGAATATTATTTTCATTTGATGAACTAGAATCAGTAGTCCACTCTGATCTCCCATCAGTTATTTTGAATAATGCATTCAAATGTTATTTAGATATATTGCTTGGAGAAAACAATTCAGGAAAGAAGAAAAGACCGTCTCTTAAATTGTATACATTTTATCGCCTTTTAAATTTCGCTACACGAAACATTTCACGTACTTCAGTGCAAATTATTTATATCTGCAGGTCCTTTTCTCTGGTCATATTTTGCCTGTGTCATATTTGATTCTGTTTTATTTAACGTTTTGTTATTTCTTATTAGCATTTGATACAGTTTCTTACCTATCTGTTTACAATCGCGTATCAGTCATACTTATCAAATGTATGAGCGTGCACATCAAGTTTCACTGATGTCAGTGATTGCTGACATGGATATTTTTTTAGAGCAATAGTACGGTTTGATTTTTGTACAAAATTTGTATACTGTATAGGCACACTCATTCTCATAACAGCAATAGTTGAGATTTCTTCATTCATACTTATTGAAAGTTTTAAAACTCCAAGTAGAAATTGGACGCTACAAAAACAAGTGATGAATGACATTCTCAATTTTCACGTTTTGCACTTCATATTACCCATCTATCTGATCTGCACCTCTCAATATGAATATCCTTGCAACCTTTAAGATATGGTTATTAAGTATGTAGTCTGTACAGTTGAGTAGTCATTTACGAGCAGAACAATTATCTGTTCGAAAGTACGAGGTAGATATCTGATCACGTTGCTTATTTATTGCTAAAATAAGTCGATTATTTGATGTTCAACTAAGTGCTTGTTCTTGTAAGCACATGGGCTTTATCTGTGAAGCACAAAAGAATATTAATGTATTTCTGAGCAATTTCGCAGGACTCACCGAACATAAGCGTGTGTGACCAGTTGAGGAGACGATTATTTTCACAGAAACTATATATTAAAGGACTATTGGTTTGCATTACAAGGAAGGTATTAGATAAGGGTTACTTATTCACTTATTTTGTAAGAAAGTATTTCAGAAGATGAGTGTTGATTTGTCATCTTTAAATCGAGCATCGATAACGGCTGAACACTTACAGATCAGCGGGTAATTATTTTCTTCTTTGATTTGTTTTAATTGTAGTTGTGCTGTAAGTATTTCCTAGAAAAAATAGAGAAAATCAATGCATTCGATTTTTGATGATCTCATTATCACTATTGATCAATCAGAATTTGCAGAATAGTCTTTATTTATTCATATAATTATTGCAGTAGTCTGCATGATTTTTTATTCGGGGCAGTGGCAGAATTTGTAGACAATGCTCGAGATGCTAAAGCTGTGACGTTACATATTGACTACAGTAAGTGTATAATTCTAGGTGTGACTAACTTTCTAATAATAAACTCTTTGAAGTTATTTGGTTTACGTTTATGTTTGCAGTAGTCCATAGTATGATATGTATAAATTATAATATTTGTAATTTCAGATAATGGACAACTCAGTTTTCTTGATGATGGCTGTGGAATGAAGAGAGAAGAAGTGCTCTCCATCATTTCTTTTGGTAGTTCTTCCAAAAGTGTTGATCCAGACATGATTGGACGGTATGGAAATGGATTGAAATCGTAAGTTTGAAATATCAAGTAAAGCTAAATCATTTTATAAGTACAAGTACATGTAGTTGCGAATGAATAAGATTTTAGAGGCGCTATGCGATTAGGAAAAGATTTCATATTGTTTACGAAAAAGGAAGGACTAATGACGTGTATGTTATTGTCAGCAACATTTATTGAGGAGCATAATTTCAAGGAAGTGAGTTTGTTTAAATCATTGTATAGTGAGAAAATTCATTACAGGTGGTACAGTATTTTTAATGAAGCAAGGGACCAAGATAAAAATTTATTTAAGTCAATAATTTTATTTACTTGTTCCATTGTTGCAAATCTGTAGAAGCAATCCTCATTCATATTTAAAAATAGGTTATTGTACCGATTCCATCATTCCTGGAAAATCGTCATCCTTATTATGAAAGCATGCATCAAGTGCAGAAGGTATTATGTATATTTTATTATATGTATGATAACGAATACATTGTTTTTAAAATAATTCATATGTGAATGACTGTTTTCGCAGAAGACCATTCCATAAAGTGAGAGTGAAACGCAATACGTGATCATTTTTTAAATTGGTAGCATCATATTTTATATTAAGATAAGTTCCTGTTTATATTTATTTTTATTGCAATGTGCTACATTAACATACGAGTTAGCAGAAGAGGAAAATATTTAATATTGATGACTATGATTTTTAGCTTTTACGATATAATTTCAGCATGAATTAGAAATGCAAATAATTTGTCATTACTCACCCTTCCACAATGAGTGTGAATTACTTTCTCAATTTTCTCGGATAGCAACAGATACAGGAACTCTGGTCGTATGTTACAATCTTAGGTGCACTGAAAATGGTGTTTATGAAATGGATTTTGCAACAGACACATCTGATATTCGGCTAACCAATTGTTTTCCACAAAGGTTTCTATTAAGAAGTAGAATTAGTTAAATAATTTGGCAGGAAATGTTTTTGAGAAGATTCTTATAATTGTCTGTTGCTTCGCGGTAATAGATGGATTTATTTCTTTATCATTTGTTTACTCTTTCTAACAAAGCCTATTGCAGAGCTTAAATTTAATCTCACTTTTTAGAGAAGAAGAAAAGAATTCGTTACGTGCGTATCTATCGGTCCTCTACATAAATCCACGGATGCGTATCTTTCTACGAGGGGATAAAGTAGAAACAAAGCGGATCATAAGTACACTTTATATGCCGCTCATGTATCGTCACCAAGTAAAAAATCCTAAAATTTGTACTCAGCGTGAATTCGAAAAGTATGAACAGAAAAAAGTGGAATGTGAGTTTTGATGTTAATTTTTTTAATTTAAAGATGTAAAAACATCATTATATGATCGGTTTAAGGAAAAATAAAGTTTTTATGGTTATTTACTCCGTCAAAAGTTATGGTTAAAATCTTACAGAGCATTTAAGTGTAGAATAACTTCAAATTGGGTCTAATATGTACTTATTTCATACAGTTTTTTCCAGTTTAGTAGTAAATCACGTAGCGCAATGTAAATCACAAATAGAAAATTTCGAGCTGACATATCCTGATTACATAACCAACTCACGCCTTCATGTTCATCATCAAAAACTATTGAAGGAAATGGAGGATGCTGAAAAAGTGTTGGCAAAAACAGAAACTGGAGCAAAAGAGTTGCAAAAGTACGCAATAATTATAACATTTATCTACAAAATTTTGCTAGATCTGAAAAAGATTTTAGTACTAACAGTATTTCACTTATGATTCATTTTAATCTCGAGAAATCCTGAGATTTCCCCATTCAGTTCCATTTTGATTATATATGTTTCATTTCACATCTTGTCTTGTCTTTTAGGTTGAAATCAGATCCTATTCCGTTAATTTTTTATTTTGGCTTTAATATTCATTGTCGTGATTGTTATGGATGCATGTTGTACAGTAATGGTCGATTAGTTCGAATGTATGAAAAACTTGCAGTACATAAAGAGAAGAAAAATAATTCCAAGTAATTTATTTCACTCTTTCTTGAAATAAAAACTAGTCTTGTCTATTATTTGTTTAAAAAAAAAA